CCCTCTGCAGGGCCGGACCGGGCCAGCCCCGCTTGCCGCCGCACAAAGCCCCGCCGGCCCGGCCCGCTCCGCCTCCCCGAACAAAGCGCGCGGGCGCGGGGATCGAACCCGGGGCTCTGCCCCGCCGCCAGCTGCAGCGAGCGCGGAGGAGAGGAGAGAAGCGCGGCGGGAGCGGCGCGGGGCTGAGCTCCGACCGCGCGGAGTCCCAGCCCGCCTCCCCTCCGCCCTGTTATTTCTGGGCACCTGGCAAAAAATGCTGCCCCTGCCCCCGCGAGAGCAAGAGCCGGCGGGGATGGAGGCCGGGCACGGGCTGGCCGCATCTCCTTACAGGCACCGTTATCCGCAGCAAGGAGCCACCGAGCCGGCCCCGGCAGAGCCGCTCTCCCGGAGCATGACTTGCCCACAAAAGGGAATAGGGTATGGGCCCCTGTTCTTGGAGAGTGGCATCCCCTTTTACTGCCCCCGCAGTCAGTGCACGAGGGCGTGCTGCTCGTCTCCCTCCCCACGTCTGGTTCCTCACCCCAGCTGGTCTCTTGGATGTAAGAGATTAGTAAACTGCAGCTGGCAGGGGAATGAGGGCTGTTACTGCTCAGGTGGCTGACCTGGCCCTGTGTCAGCCCTTGGGATAAATTCCTGTATGCAGGGGGTCTCACACACTGCTTTAACAGCATTGGCCATCACTAAGAGGAGAAAAAAACAATAGATGGGTACAGTACAGCTATTATTATTTTATCTCTTTGCAAACTGCTTAAAAATATTATGCCACAGATTTTTCCTATTTTGTTACAGAGATGGCTGCATTTCAGTAGTGTTTTATATATCATATTGGTGCCTCACACTGAGGCCCCAGACATGTCTGAAGATGAAGTGATTTGCTGCTTTGAGGCTTTTGTGTATTGTCCAGGCCTTTCCTAAGAAATGTCACAAATCAAATGATTGCTCCCACAGGCTAGCACTCTCTTGAAAGATGCTTTATACTGTGACACAGATACACACACTCTAATATCTTCTCTCACCCAGTTTTAGCATGGGAATAGCAGGGAACAACAATACATATTTAACTAATACATGCCCTCATCTAGAATGCTGCACTGATTTCATGTGTTACAGAGCCTGAATAGGTCAAAGATGGGCAAAGAAGATGGTTAGAGATATGAAGGACTCATATAGGAACGAGAGATGATAAAAGGAGGATTACAAAGCACAGAATAAAGTCCTAAAAATGGGTTCATATCAAAGAATCATAGAAAATTAGGGTTGGAAGGGACCTTAGGAGACCGTCTAGCCCAACTTCCTGCTCAAAGCCGGACCATCCCCAAGTACATCATCCCAGCCAAGGCTTTGTCTAGCCCGGTCTTAAAAACCTCCAAGGATGGAGAGTCCACCACTTCTCTGGGTAACTTGTTCTAGTGCTTTACTACCCTCCTTGTGAGAGAGCTTTTCCTAATATCCTACCTACATTTCCCTTGCCACAACTTGAGACCATTGCTCCTTGTTCTGTCATGTCACCACTGAGAACAGTCTAGCTCAGGGGCAGGCAAAGTCTGGTCCACAGGCCAGATCCGGCTGGCGGTAGACTCCATTTCTCAGCAGCCCCTGCCCAGGTGGCTAGGGCTGGTCTCCATGGAGACTCCAGCCACTGCTAGACTGATAGTACAAAGCCAGTGCTGCCATGGAGACTGGCCCCAGCCACACTGGCAGGGCAAGTGGCAGGGTAGGGGGCTGTTCCAGAGCTGTTGGGATCTTGTGGGGACAGCTTGGTCTGGGGCCAGGGCAGAGCTGTAATCTACAGCCTGCACACTCCACACAGGGGCACACAGGCAGCAGATCTTGGCTGTGCCCCTGCTCCAGACCAGGCCCCTGCTCCAAACCAGCAGATTGCAGCTCTGCCCTGGCTCCAGACCAAGCTGCCCTCGCCACAAGATCCCAGCAGCTCCAGAGTAGCCCCCCGGCCCAGCCAGTGTGGCTGGGACCAGTCTCCATGGCAACCCCAGCCTTGCACTATCACAGCACAGACGGGCCCGAACCATGCAGGCACGAGTTACTGGGAAATGGGAGTCTGGCTGCCAGCACTGCCATCAAGTAAGGGATTTTTTTTGCCCACAGTCAGTCACATTGCATTGACCAATAAAGTCAAGAGCTTTCTTTAAAAGTGGAGGCATTCCCCTACTATTCTTCTAAACAGCAATACCTTACCTACTCACCCCTCTTTCATGGAGTTTGTCTTTTCATCCAACTAAAGGAGCATAAACATAAGAGAGGACTACACTACAGAAATCCTAGTTCCTGTCTCCTTCCCAAGCAAAATATTTAGGATTTTTCACAGGATCTTCTGCCCTTCCTTCTGGCCTTTGACAGACTCTCAGATCACAAACCACCATGCCCAGCTGTGCCACCCTCAAATATGCTGCATAACTCTGTGCACTAGCTCCCAGACCAGAAGCAGTATCGTGTCTCTGCAGCACCTAGGGCAGGCTGATTAACCGTAGAAGGTAGAGTTAATTAGCTTGCCCTTGGCACCAAAAGGACACAAGTGGATTGCTTCCTGTTCTGCAGTGCTGTCAAGCCTGGTAAGTCTATGGTCTAAATATTGTCTTAAGACCTGTGTGACCTTAAGTAAAGAGAATAATACCCAGTAAACTTCAGTATTGCTAAACACCAAATATTCCAACAGCCAAAGTCAATTCTGACTTTAAAAAATGAGATTTATAAGTAAAGAAGAAAATTAAAACTGGGCACAGTATTTGAAGTGTAGACACACTATGGATGTATATAGGGGTATAATATTACTTGTTTAGTTTATAGTTCCCTTCTTACTACTTCCAAACATTTTGCCTTTTTGACCGGTGCTGAGCACTGAGTTGATGTTTTTAACAAACTGACACAATGATTCCCACATCTCTTTTCTGTGTGGTAACAGCTAATGTAGAGCCTGTTGTGGTATAGATGCAGTTTGGGTTATTTTTGCCCATGGAGATTACTTTACACTTATTCACATTGACTTTAATCTGCCAATTAGTTGCCCATTCTCTCACTAGAGGAAGATCCTTCTGCAGTTCCTCATAGCTGCCTTGGTCTTTATCACTTTGAATACTTGTGTGTCATTCATAAAATTTGGCCACCTCACTATTCATCTCCTTTTCCAATCCACGTAGTATTCTTACTTTTTACTTTCTGGTGGCTGAAACTTTAAGGTGCAAGTGGGTCATGTTTGCAAGCTCTTTTTCCTCAACCATGAGGCCAGAAAGATGTATATTTTTTTATAACTGAAAGTGGATGCAGTCACTTACATCTAAAGCCAAGGCACGAAAAGCACCAGATAGTGCAGGAACTGGCAACACTGGGCACATCCAGGCAAGAGCACACGTGCTTCTTGCGGCATCTCAGTCCAGTTTGAGATGCCGCAAAAGACACATTGAGAAGAAAAAAATGCTGTGTGGGGAACATATTTGTAGTGCAGGCTCAAAATTTGATACCTGGATTTCCAGGTATCAAATAAAAACACCACAGGGAAAAGCAGCGCAGGGCACAGTTCCCCCCCATGCCGAGGCAAGCCTGGCCTTGCACCTCCAGAGATGCTCTAGCATCCGGCCAGCTTGTCTCTACAGTGCCGCCTGCTGCCCTAGTACACTGCATTCGTGCGCTGGGGCAAGGCAGCACAAGCAGTGCTGGCTCTGAGGGGATCAGGGCCATGCCATGCCATTGGGGCTCTGGCCGCAGCGGGCCCTAAGCACCCCATGGCTGCTGCTGCTGCAGAGGGTGCTGTGGGACCTAGAGGGGGGTGGGGAGGGCTCTGGACCCTGTGGTGGGGATATGTGCTGTGCAAGGGGCCATGTGGCCTGTGGGGTCAGGGGGGCTGTGGGCCCTGCGGGCAGAGCAATCCATGTGCTGTGCAGGTGGGGATGCACCCTGTCGGGGGGGGG